TAATCTCTTAAACAGACTTCTACATGAATTTCTAGGTTTTACACCAGCCAATAATCTAACAATTTTCTTTTGTAAAGTGAATATCTTTTTGATGTTTGATGAATTTCCCCCCAAAATTATTCCATATTTCATTAAAGAGTGAAAATAGGCAAAATATACTGATCTGAGTGTGTCAGTGTTGCTGAAATGCAACATAGATCTAACTGCATAACATGCTCCACTTAACTTAGGTACCAGTTTATCAATAAGATTTGTCCAATTCAGATGGTTATCAATTTGCAAACCGGAACTTTGTATTTACTGACTCTTGTGTATTCCTTTCATTATAACCCATACTTAAAGCAAGTTGTGGTGAGTTATTTGTTATAAATTTTATTATATTTGTTTTATCAAGATTTAGGGCCAGTTTGTTAGCAGTAAACCATTTACTCATATGAGATAGAACTATGTTTGATGTTGCACAGAAATCATCAAAATTTTTATTGGAAATTATGACACTTGTGTCATCGGCAAATATTAAGGGTTCTGTTAAAGTATTTATTGTTTTTATTGTTGGAGGAAGGTCATTTATGTATATTATAAAAAGCAAGGGCCCTAGAATTGACCCTTGTGGTAATGAATGACTTTCTTTCATCCTTGTTTTTTCAGAAAGAAGATCACAGGCATCTGAATCAATTCATAGCTCATGCAGCTCTCGATTTGGTGGATGAACACATGTGGAAGACTAACAACATGTATCTTAAGTCTGTTGATAAATTCAACCAATGGTTTGTGTCAGCATTTGTGACTGCAAGCCACATGAGATTTGTTATGGTACATGACAACAAAAATGAAGATGGAATAAAGAACTTCTTTATGGAAATGTATGAAACATATATAAAAGTAGGTTTTTTTGGTCTTTATTCTTGTATATTCTCTAATGCCATCCAAAGAGAGATAATTCAAATGGTTGTGAGAGAGGAAAATGGTCCATGATTATGTTTCTCTGTATACAGGGGAATTACACTCACACAGTTGATGTGGCTTATTTCTAAAAACAAATGTTATACATTACCCTTCTTCTTCTTCTTTCTTGGCTCACCAACCCAGTTGTGGGTCTTCGCTACCTCCTTTTTTGGAGGTTTTCATAGTCTTTAAATACGCATTAAACCCTCCAGCTCCAAAATCTTAAGGACAAGATGTTACTGTAGATTTAAATTGAATCTAGAACCTAGGTGTTAGCATCTGTAATAATTCATTTCCTTTATTAAAGTGTTGCCAACATCAAAGAACCTGTGACAGAAAATGCTAATAAATATTAATTATCTGTAATCAAACTAAACACTTTTACATATGAAGAAAGTGGCCTCATATGTGGCATTGATTTTGCTGATGACAATTTTAATTTAATGTTAAACTTTAATTGTGTGTTGTGTTTAGTTTGAATATCCGTTGAGGCTGAGCAGAGTGTAAATTCAATAGTTAACCAGTTACAAGTGACATTGTCATGCATTTAGCAACATATCTGCATAACAGAATACATGTTTATGAAGTTGTTTCCTTGTTTCAGTATTCCATGAACCCATTCTACAAAATTAACACTCCAATCAAGTCCCCAGCATTTGAACGGAAAGCCCAGTTTTATGGGAAGAAATATTTGCTTGTGTAATTTGTACAATTGGGGGAGGATGCTGATGGCTGCTGTTGGTTGCTGATGGAATTAGCAATTACTTATGTTACCATCCCACAATTTTCTGTACTAATATAAATTGTGTTATTAAGTTCTAAGTAACGATTAAAGTTAATTAATTTTTGTATGAAGTCACATTAGTACTTGAAGGTAGAAATCTGAATTCTTTCTTGTGTGTACAGAATGCCTTTTTTTTCTGTTTTATAGGACATAATGTGACCCACCATCACAATGTCAGTGCTATTCTTCTGGGTTGTGATGCTTTTTCTCTGAAACATTGGTATTTACTTATGAATTCAGACAGTGCCATGACCCAGAAGAGCAATATCAACATGTTTACCACAGGAACCTCAAATTTCACACATCACATGGGGGATGAGAACTGAGTTCAAAATATATGTTGAAAAATCTGAATGGAAGGAGACTACTTGTGAGACATTGGTACAGGTGGTAGAATAATATTAAGATAGGTCACAAGTGCAAATATTTGGACTGCAATTGGATGAATGGTCCCTTGAACATGGTATAGAACTTTAGGGTTATGTAAGAGGAGGGGAATTTCTTGACCAGCTGGGCGACCACCAGTTTCTCAATACAGGATTTGCATCAGGGAGTAAATTACTGTGGTTCACAAATTTTATTTTATTTTGTTTATTTGCATGCCAATTTGACTTTTATATAATATTTAATAGTTTGTGTGTCTATTTACTAGATGGCAGGAGAGACCGACCGTTCTTCTCCTGCCACCTTCAGGCACTATTAGAAAACATCAATTTAGTTTTGTCATTACTCACCGAACGCCATTAGCGAATGAAACGTCGGATGTGAGTGCGGGAATTTCAACATTTTTAATGCCGATAAGGGGGTTTTAGTTTAGATTATTCGTCTTTAAATGTTTAAAAACTTTGTGAGAAACGTGGGTGTTGTGAAAGACTTGGTTGCTTGCGGTTTGTTCTTACGCGAACAGTGCAAATTGATCTTGTGAATCTGATTTCTCTTCACATTCAACATGGCAGTTATATTTCAACCGAGGTAAGGAATTTATATTCTTATGCTTATTGCAGATTATTGCTTTTTGTGCTAACCAATTTGACGCTTTTGTAATCTTGAGGAGCCTATACGAAAGTACTTCTTAGACCCACGTTTAATTATTTGTAAGATCTATACAGCTTGAACTAGCCAAGAAACGGTCCGTAAGATTGCACGTATCGTTTAGTGTAGGTTAGGTTGATGTGTTGCAAATGCGACACCTGGCTGTGCATTCGTAGTTTAACTGCTGCCGATTTGTTGATTCATATAATGTAAAATAGTAGTCATATAAAGTACCCAAACTTTTCAAAAAGAAATCAGACATGAAGCAGTTGTTCGAAAAAATCTTACAGAGTAATAATGTCGTGAATATTCACATGGCGAGATTCAAGGTTATCATGGCGGCGCGTTTGAAGATGAACGTCTTCTCGGATGTTGTAACATGTAGTCTGGTAGACGTTTACCGACAATTCAGAGGTGCTTGCTGCTACTATCACCAGGGCGATCATTACTCTGATAATGGAGGCAGTAAGCGCCTTTGAAACGTCGGTAACTTCTATAAGACTACACAGCATAGCATCTCAGAAGACAAAATATTTACATGCTTACTTGTTTTTTTTTTTGCAAGAAATAATACTGTTTAAATGTAATTTTCAGAATTTTAAAAGATTACTTTTGTTGTGGATTCCATTAATTCTCGTTTGTGACAAACTATTTGAATCTTATCAGTCTTTTCAACAAACATAATCAAAATTATAATCCTAAAAATAAGACAAATTGAAGACAATAGAAATAATTTAAAATTTATTTTTATTGCGTGTTTCATAATATTTTAGCAGTTTTTAATCTTTGATAGAAGAGTGACAATTTTGGTTCGACGTTTATTTAGGTTGGTACCTAACTTGAGGTACACAGTTTCCTCTTAAGACCTGTTAATTTACTTTCAGTGCAGATGAGCCATGACGACCTGGTGTAGCAATATGATCCAGGCTTTTAATTTCCGTTATTGTCGTGAGGAATTTTTTTTTTTAGCGTCTTGATGCCAGTAAACTGAAGACGTTGTTTTTCAGGAGAGAGATTGGCCTACGTAGTGATGTTAACAAATATTGTACCAGTAATTCAACCGTTGGAAGAACGTTGCAGAATGCCAGGAAAGCGTTTTAGACGTTTTGATGGACAATTACAAAAATTGTGTAATTAAAAAAAATACGCGTTTTATGATACGGATATTTTTCGATCTAGGTTGCTATGGAAATTCCTCACGCTGTCTGAATAGAAGATACGCTTGCTTCCCCACAGGGCAGAGATATAAAATGCTGATAATTTTTTATCTTTGCGTCTTAATTACTCTTACATTATTTAAAAAGGCTTCTTTAATTTTATAATGTATTTAGCATCGAATACAAAGGTGATTATGAATTAAGAATAAACAAATATATTATTACATCGATTTATAGAAGGACTGATAGAAACGACGGAAATGTTTTAGTGTTTTTCAGACTAACCAGACTATTGAGGTTTGATCGTATGTCAATAAATGGCGATTTATCGAGAAAAGATGTTGTGTAGCATTGAATAAGACGAGGGTTACATTGCGAATAGTGTTTGAAGGGGCAGTTTGAAGTGGTCGTAGCCTATTTAAAGTATACTGGTAGTGTAATCTCGGTCATTAGAGCTGGTTAACAAATGAACCAATCCACGTTTCGTGTACGTTTTGATTTCTTTATACCGGGTACAGAAATTATTCGGTTTTTACATGTGTGGGCATTTAGCACGCATGAAAGCGATTTTAGTTGGAAAATGTTAGGGGTAGAGGCTACTTATAAAACGCTGGCGTGCGTGGGAGGATAATATTAAACGGGATCTTAGGGAACATATTTGCTCAGTGTGGACAGGATTTATCTGGATCAGTATAATAAGTGAAAAGAGAGCTTAATTCCTTCAGACTGAGAAGTTGAAGTCCAGTTAATCACGAATAAACCCCAGTCTCCTTAAATGAATCCCACCAGGCGATCTTTGGAAGCATTCTTGGCGAATGCTAATATTATAGAAAATAATACTTTTTAAGACTCAGTGTTTAATGCCATATTTATTTTTTTAACTGTCTTCTTAGTTATTTAGTTTTCAATTAAAAATTACATTCGCTAACTTTGATTACACGAAACTTCCGCCAAGGAATATAATTCCTGTTTTTAATAATGCGATTGTGGCAGAAGAGATCCTCGATTGCTTTTTCCATGAGCAACGCCACGTAAATCGGAGTGTACCTGCTTTGGTCTATGAGTTGTGTGTTTTTTAAACGTCACGTGAGTTCGGATAATATGAAGGTCATTGTGTGTGAAGACTGTAATGGGCTACATTGGTGCTGATGTCACTCTAGCATTGAGCTTTACGCATTTGTACCCCATCCCATTACACAAACACAATAGGTTGTCTGCAAGTTATACTAAACTATTGGGGTCTTTATGGGATAAACATATTACATTCAATTAATCAAACACAACACGTACGTGCTTTATAATATACATGATCATATCTTCTGTTTGTAACATGGACGAAAATGAGCCTGTTTCTAGAGCACTATTATGAGATGATGTCGACAGATGTCACTTCGGTTTGTCAGTTGTTGGGTTGCCAATATTCGTCAGCATCGCCATTCTGAAACTGCAAATAATCAAACAGTTATTTTGTTAACGCATAAAGAAATGCCAGGATCTCTTTGGCACATTAAAATAGTAACGCTTATGAGAACACAGCCCTCGAACTTCATATACACGTGGCCAGGTTCTATAAGTAACTTTCAGGTTTCGATGAAAAAGCCTTCGGAGTTATTTTGGAAGCAAACATTTAAATTTGTTTGTAATTTAATAACGCGTTCATTTGTTTAGATTTTATAGCGAATGATGTGTTGTTGTTTTTTTGTATCTAAAAACTGAAACTGCTAAGGAGTGTAGCCGGAACCTAAAGCGTCTTAGTTCAGATGTAATGTGGATGCTTAGAGGCGTTTCCAGACTCACCTGCCCCAGTGAATCGGCGTCCCGTTGCCACTTGTTTCCGAGGAAGTACTCCAACCTGCGCCGCGTACTGTCAGCGGACCGCAGCCACGAGTAGCCGCCGAATTTCTTACCCATGTTGAACTGAAACACGTAAGAGCCGTCAGCACGTCGATCAGCAGACGAGTTTCGCATTATTACGCTGCCAAATGTCACGTTAATTAGTGGGGTTTAAGGTTCTCGCGGCGATGGGATGTAGCGTTTCTGAGGTGCGTACTGCCTCCATAATCAGGTTGATGATCAGGCCAAAATTGCGCTCGGAAAAGTATGTTGAGATATAGGAACAGGTCGGATAGGACATAAGTTTGGACGCGTTAATAGACAAAAGAGGGAAGCTAGTGCGTATCTGGCTGTTGTTTTTCACCATTTGAAGCCGAAGATCGTTTGAAAAGCATTTAAGAATTCAGTCCGTACCGAAAAGAAAACACCAAACTTCACCAATACAAAGATTAATTAAATCCTTGTTTATCCTGTGAATAATATGAAACGCATAAACGCAAAACACAGAGTTACTGAATGTCGAAACAGGTGGTACATATAGTTACCACTGGGCTTTAAAGGGTTAATTCCTGCAACAACAAAAAATTTCCGCAAACATTGAATCACGTAGAGTAGGCAAATGCACTTACCGCTCCACAGTTCTGCGGGTTGCAGCGCCAGGGGGAGAGAAGCAGCAACGAGGACACGGAAAGGAAAAGAGAAAAATAAAATTAGCCTTGAATAAGAGAGAACCATAAAGAATTCATGTATTTAATTGACCAAAGCATCGCTGTTTCTAAACTTTACGCGCAGTTAAAAAGTTAAATAAAAAAGCGACTACAGATTTTCCACTCAACACCGTAATGGAATTAAATATGTTCCACCGTTCGTTTCATATTCGAGTGAACATATTGATACGTATCTCGCAAATAGTGCAATCGACAGTGAAACTAATCCGATTACCAAAATTACTGAGTGGTTTTTTTTTTCAGGTTTTAATTAGTAAACAAACTTTCTTCTTTTTGTGTGTGTGTTGAAACTAAATTACGAATAGCTTTGAAGTCAGTTGTTTTGAAAATATACTTACCCGACTATCCAGCTAGTGCGTGCATGGAACAGAATAACAATGACACGTTAAAGAATGCTTAAAACCAGGGCTCGAGAATATAAAGCATCTGCCATATTCTAACCCTTTCAGTGTTACGAACGATATATCTCGTTAAGAAACGTAGCTCGTTCATCTTCAAAATAAGTATTAAATTTGGTAGCGTGGGAATAAGCGAACGTTGATTATATTTCTGCCTATTGACAGTTTAAACGGGCACTTGTGGCTTTTAAACGATGGAAATTGTCACCACGCGTTTGTTTTATGTATTAAACTGAGCACGGAAATGGTTAGATAAGCAGATTTAATCAGAACTGTTAGAATGTCTAATATTTTAAATTTTATGAAGACGTGGTTTGGTTGCTACAATTTCAATTGCAGTATGATTTTACGTAACATTTTGATAAAAATAAGACATTTTTGCCAACCTCGCGTCAACTTTCCCGTACTTTTACAGAATTACCTTTCAGACGTTTTATCTTAATTTCCGTTTAGAATATATAATGTAATAATGCAAAAATAATTTCTACCCTATTTTAATCTTGAAAACTTTCGAAATATTTTTATATTACTCTGGGTAAATACAACCAGGGTTCGATTCCCGACAGGGCTAGAAGTTTTTCTCTTACCCCTGGCTCTGGAGCTCACCCAGCCTCCTGTCCAATGTGTACGGGGAGAGGGGGGGGCTTTCCCCGGAGTTAAACCGGACGAGGCGTGAAGCTCACTACTTACCTCCGTCTTAATTAAGCATGAGGGACAATTTTTATTTTGCCCTTCTGTAATTAATGATATTTTATGCAGCTGAATGATTTTAGGTATTCATTTAATAATTAGATTCATGAAGGGGCTTTGCATTTAAATACAGCGAAACAGGTTGTGAAGGTGGAAAGAGGGTAGATCTTGCTGAGGATCGTGGCCAATTGCGGAATTTGGTATTAGCGGTGTTGAACCTTCGGGTTTTGCTGCCAGAGATTTAGTCCGGTGGAAATTACTGGCAGATAATACAGGATAGCCCTGAGGCGATACTCACCCTGCACATCTGGAGAGGCGGCGTCGACATGAAACAAAGACAAAGGCAACGAGATTAATCGGGATTGTACTCCAGCCAGGGTGGTAGCCCTGCACTTGCTTTAAAGACAGCCAGTGATGTCAAATATAGGCGACACGTCCTGGGGCGAAACGGTTGTTGTGAGATTACATTTAAAATGTAACTCAGGGAGTGGATGTCTCTAGAAACTTGGACTATATAATTAGTCAGCATACGAAACTACCTGCCATAGTCGCAACTTATGCAGTAATATTTATTTGTGGAGAGTTCATTTAAAAGAGTAAAGACATAATTACGTAACAACGGAGGTTCAAATCTTAAAGAGCTTTTATGGTCACGCTGTGTTTTTTTTTTAAAAAATTGCGTCATTTCAGAAGTTTCATTATCCTGTTATTTATTTTAATTTATTGCAGATAAAAATGAATGTATTAGACTTCGAAACTTGTGCAGTACATGAATAGAGATTTGTGTCACTTGAAATTTTAATGTTTTGTAAATTAGAAACGACCGCGTGCTTGGGGTTTGTTGACCCCTAGTAACACTTCATGGAGTTCGTGTGACTTGGTCGATTTTCTACCTGCATTGTCACATTCTTCGAACGCTTGAGTTCGCTTCAATATCATTTCGGTTCCACCAGATGCCAGGATTATGTGGAAAATAAGGAAACACGCAGAACGACATTAACGCGACCACGAACGAAGTCGCGTTCGGAGAAAATGTACTTTTCTATTTACGCGTAACAACTGGCGGCATCTGCCAGTACTTGGGTCGTTTTCTCGCTAAAAATTTGTATTCAAGTTGTCATGGATACTTAGATACAAATAAAGACGACTTCGTTTCTTACTTAAAACTGGAACGGTCTAGAAGAGAACGTTGTATATTAAGTTTGTCGTGACAAGAGAGAGTAAATGTACTTACCAACTTCACCGCAAGGTAGCGTGTTCGTCAGGCGTGAAATAGGAATAAAAAGACAACTGTTAGTTACATTTTAGATTACTTGTTCAGATTATACAAAATTATTAAAAAACATGTTGTATTGTTACAGATGGAAGTTAGTTACTAAACTTATCTGATAAATCTAAGAATGTCATTCTAAAACTGATCAAAAACTAAGATTTAACTTACTTCAGTTTCAGAAGGGGAGTAACTTATGATACACCCTTCAGAAGTTTAGTTTGTGGTACAGGTGGCGTCTGTAAGGAGCGGAATTGGCACTTAAGGGAGGAATTCTAAGACGGGAAGAATTCCACTGTTGTTGCTGCCATTTTTCATGCACGAACTGATGGAGTGGCAAAGTTTGGGGACCGCTTAACTGATAGAATCTAATCTAAACAGCAAAGTGATTACATTTACGCTCCGTGTGTTGGATCATCACAGCTTCCGGTCGGGTGAAGGCAGACAGATACTTTAGGAAGCACTACAGACCTTTTTTTAAATATTAATTTTAATATTACATCCCCACATATGAATAACATTTCCAATTGGTGCTCTCTGTTAGAGTTTTTAGTTTAAAAAAAAATTAACTGTATGTTTTCGTTATCTCTCAAGTGCGTGCTATTTGTCCCGCCCATTTTATTATCCTAATATTTGCTAAAATTATAGAGTTTATGATTATGGAAATTCATCAAGCCTCGTGTTCCGTCGTCCCTCTTAGTTTTAAAAATCGCCCTAAGGGCCATGTTGTCAATCACCCTCGTACTTTAAAAGACCAAGTTTAACACCCGTCTAAGAACAGACAAACTTGTAATTGTCTATTAAGTTCGATAGCGATTCGTAAACTTAATTAGATCAAGCGATGATTTATTTAGGGCTTATTCTGAGGCGTGAATTAAGAACGCTGGAGACACGGCTAATGCGGAAGTGTGGATGATTCGTAAGTTGTAACCATGGCAACGAAATTCAGACATAATATGTAACTTCGTTAATATTTTACCGGAACATTTGTTATGTGTAGCGTTACTCTTCAGATTACAGCGCGAAATTCACTTAAACAGTTGAAATATCACATGTATGAGGAATTTACGGAAAATACACGTTCAAAATTCTTTCAGTTTCGCTATTGACAATTCGACGTCACACAGAACTTTTTAGCTGAAAAGTGCAGTCAGATAACCAAGAAACAGGCAAAGATTCGTAATGTCGCTGGAAATAAGTAGAGTCTTACCTTGGCTCTTTGGAAGTAAGCTTTGGTTTTATATATTTGCAAAGAGATTGCGTTTAAAACAGCGTAAAACAAAACTGGAGTCTTGGAGGAAATTTCAGATGCTTAATAGAATTTTGCTGAGATGTAGTTTAATTCCGTTGTCATAATGTAGTCATTCATTTGTTTCGAATACAAAAGCTCCTTGCGTTGTTGTTAGAACGAAGGATTGTCGCGCCGTAATCTGTTTGAAACGAAGACAACGCCTTGAGCCGATTTTGCGCGCTAATTGTCCTTGCGTTGGAACTGAAGTTACGCGATTACTCGAAACTTGCGAACAAAGAAGCCGCAGTGTTTGCTTCGCATTTTGGGAGATTAAAAACTCTTGCATGTCACCGTTCTCGTACTGAGCGTGTCCAGAGACTGCATTCACACTTCGCCCGCCACTTTCATAAACAAGAAGATACGAGTCTGAATTCTTTAAACTGAGCTTGAAAATTTCTGTGAACGCTGTCTGCCGGTAAACAATTAGTTCAACGTTTTTTTTATTCCGACTGTACATTATATGACTTCATAGTAAGTTATTAATTTTTATAATAGTGTATTATTCGCCCGTAATTTTTACTGGTTTCGACTACCAGAAACAAGTTCCTGTGCTATTCCATGGCTCGTTATTCAACACACTGGGAACCATCCTACTGTATCTGGTGAGATCCTTCCCCACTGAATGTAACAAACATTTTCTACTCCTATGTTCCATGTTGCAAATTCTTGTACCTGAAGTGACGATAGGTAATGGTACCTTATTTAAGAGTTGTATATTTGAGACGCTAATTATAGCCGTCTTAATAACATTATTTTTTGTTGGGCAAGGCCGTGGTCTAGGCAACCCGGAGTTTTCCTCCGTGGCATCCCAACAATTACTTCGTTCACACACAGAAGAAGGCAATGGCAAACCACTTCTGGATCATCTGCCAAGAACGTATATGAACAGGTCCCAGTCCGAGAAAAGGATGGAAGGATCCTGTTCATATGGACCTGTCGTCAGACAGAACGCTAAATAAATAAATAATAAAATTTTTACTGAATTGAAATACAGAACGCGCGCGGTTTAAAATAATTTTTACTACAAATAGAAATTAACGCCCAGTCTTTAATTTTCAATCTTTCTGTCGGCGAAACTGCATCCAGCGATTGCCGTGGACACGCAAGATGGGCCTAGAGGAACATAAGAGATATTTAATATAGCCGGCACGGGACTTCGATTTTTGACTTATCGCCTAATAATGGGAAGCCCCGAGCGCAAGACGAAATATAAGCCACAACTTCGTCGGGCGGACGAGGAAGCTGATGAAGGAGACAAAGCCACTGCCCAGACTAGCTCTACATTTGTGTCTCAACGAAAATGATTTCGTGATATTGGGTTTCCCGCGAGAAAATTTAAGTCTCGAACCATTGCCCAATTCTCTTGTGGATACGTTCGAAGTCCGGATCTTTAAATTTTAGGATTCCGGACTTTGAAGTTATCTTAGAATGTGTTACAAACATTCACCAGTAATTCAGATACATTTCTAAACTTGGAAATAAAACATTTAAGACTACTCTGATATGCAGATATATGATGAGGACAACTGTAATATTACGTTAAAGGATGTAACGTCACTACAATCTTCGTTTAAGAAAGAAGTTTTTAAATGTAACAACGTACGTACAAGACAGTACAGGCTTCTGCGTTGTCTTCTAGATATGAGAAAAGTCTGGATTTATACAAGCGTGAAGATTTCTGTCTTCTGGGTTGTTGCGCTGTGTAGTCTGGTCGATGTTAACCAACGTTTCAGAGGTCATACTGCCTCCGTCATCAGGGCGATGAATGACGGAGGCAGTATGACCTCTGAAACGTTGGTTAACATCGACCAGACTACACAGCGCAATAACCCAGAAGACAGAAATCTTCATATTCATCGCTGTGAGAACCTCAAGTCTTACTTATACAAGCGTGTTTAACAAGACAGTCTGATCAACATAATAACGAAAGCTATTAATTTTCATATTTCTTTCTAATATGATATGAGACGCCGTCCGATTCGTGCTTTTTCCAGAGGGCTGTGCTTTGTCAGGAGCCTTCGTAATGCATCATGCGGTCTGTCGCTCTTTTTCGCCAGTTACGTTAGGTTTTCGAAAACAGTTACGAGATTCGTCGATCCCAGTGTTAATTTAAAATTATAAGCTAATTAAATAGTATTATAGTGATCACATAATTTGGAGTTCCACAAGACACAATGTTCTCTGTTACATTTATTATCCCTTTACGTGCTACGCACGACATATCTCGTTTAAAACCAGTGGCCCTTCTGAACTGAATTTATCATTTTCGCTTGTGCGTCAGTAATGTAAGTTTTCCTAATATAATCTAACCTAAGCTCTTCACCTGTGATAATCGTGTGTAGGCATTTCATAAATATGCAATGTCAGGGCATTTTTCTCGGACACTGTGCCATTTATGACTCCTCGAGGCTTTTATGTTTCTGCATTCGGCAATATTAACCAGTCCCTCATCTTAATATCTTAATATAAATACTGGGCTATTTTTACAAATTCTCCTTGTCGAAGTCTCGTGCAATTTCTAAAAGATGCAGGTACTCACTCTGCTTCCAAGGTTCGACTGCAAGAGACAAATAAAACAGGCTTTTATTATGGAAATTAGCAATGCTATGCTACAGGGCATGCATCTATGCTAGTGGTTATCAAACTGTGGCTCGCGAACTCATTGTTCTCCGGAAATAAATTCATAATGGCGCACATTTGTTCGTCATTGTTCTGTAAAGGAAGTTTCACGAATATAATTATGCGGGTGCTGATTCTGGTAGTCTTTTTATTTATGAAATGTTGCAAGTTTCTTTCGTTCTATTCCTTTTAGATGGTTCACGAAATGTGGCGCTGAGAGTCGTCTGCGTGGGCCGTGAAAGAATTTATTTTTTAGAAAATCGTTTGTGAATTAACAGAGGTGAGGAACCAGTGAATTATGTATACCTTACAAGCTAAAATTTACGACAGTTTGTAAAGAAGATTTCTATTTTAAATACTTAGATATTTGTCTAGGTTTTTTTTATCAGACGTTTGAAATTCTACTAATTTTTCGGGGGTTGCAAGTGTTGAATGCTCCACTTGGAAGGATATTGTCACTTATCTGTTACTCGTTGTACATAAACTTTACCCTTTCCATGGCAGACACGTGTTATCTCGTTCAGAAGCATTGGACGTTTCGTTTCAGAATAGAACAGAAAAAATCTGTTCCCCCCTCGCTGCTATTCAAACCAATTAGTCGTGGCTTTTCACCCTTGTAAATTACGTCTTATCATTTATATATGTTATCATTCCAGCATGGAAGGGCTTAAAGCGATTTCAGTGTTAATTTCCTTCTGCTCAACTTCTTGAAAGTACATGAGAATTAAAATTTTATAATTTAGTACCACACGTGCACACATTTTCTACACAGTTTTGTCTGTAAGGACCGTTGTTACGTGTCTCGGGGCAGAGGGTGCGTTCGTATGGGACTCACCGCTCGTTTCCTGAGGAACTCGACCTCGTCGCTCGGAGAATCTTCGTTTCTCTGGCGGAAGGCCATTTCCATCTCTGCGAACAAAAGACAGTCGTGAAAAACGCAATGGCCTGATGTCGCTTCAAGAACTGCAGCCTAGGATTTTCTGGTTACTGAACTGGCAAAACATTCTTATGTGTTCAGAAAGCAATTTTATTTTACAAACTTTTGTGACTGAGAGCAGAAATTATTTGTCAGGTGTCCGTGTTTCAAGACTCTGAATATCACCGCCTTCCTGTTTCTGATTTATGTACCGAGCAATCGCGAAACTGCCTGTGGAATGTGACAGGCGCTGGAAAAGGCCGGATCGTAAGAATGTCTCCTTGAATAAGAGCCAGAATAGAACGGGTTAATAGTTGCGTGTGGTTGATATTGTTACGTTGATGGTAGTCCTTTCTGTATACAAATGCACTTGAAAATGGACTGAACATTCTGTACGCTGCCTGTCTTATGCTACGTTCTTTGTTTCTGCCCCCTAAACGAGGCGCTCCTGTGTGATGAAGATTGGATCAGCTCCATTAGAGACCATCTGAATTACTCATGAGGGTAACAGGCAAATTGTACTGTTGCTGCAGGGTATAGTCGGTGCTGATGAGCGCTCTTCAAAGTTTATATAATGCGGCTCGTTCCATGCCTCTCCGCTAGTTTTGCATTAGTTTCGCAATTCAGTTACAACTATCACCAGGTTCGCTCTAATCGTCTGTAATAAAAGTATTTTTTATTTTAAGCGTACTTCTGTAAGTCATTCTCCGCGTTATCGATGAGATTTCGTCTAAGTTGAATGTTATGGATATTACGTCATGCTTGTAATTGTTAGCTCGTGAATGAAATTTCGTGTAGATTACGTACGGCAGATGTATTTTCGTTTGCCACGTTACAAGAAATTTGCCTCGATGGAAGTCTGTACTGTTGAAGGTATGAAACACTACACAGAAGTAAAGAACCAAAGAGTAATCGTCGCTGCGACCTCAGAAGATGGAACGGCATCCATGTCGGTGTTATTGATAGCTTGACGTTGAAGGTATTGATATAACCTTCAGTGGATGATGATCATTTGCGTGAGATAAGAAAAGTACGCGCACGCTCTGTAAATGTTAACATTTATTTCATGTTTACATGTAAATTTTATTGTTTAAAAAGTAACCGTAATCCTGAATTAATAACAGATGAAGGGATTTCAGAAATCTTGCGAATCATTAGATAAACTGGGATCGAAATATCAGTTTATAATCGAGATATATCGTGAGTATCATGGACAGTGTCGAGGGTCACTGAATCTCACGTTCATTTACGATCTGCGGAGGTGAAAGTGGTCCAGTCGATCTAGATCGGGAACTCGCGTGCCTTATTTATGAACCCGCCCCATGATCAAATCAGTGTCGCTGAGTTAGACCGCTACATTCCGTGTACTCCATTATTTACCCCGTCCGTTTTAGCGTTGGTTCTGTGGCTTTGTTTACGAGTTCTTCCTGCGGACAACAACGGAGCGAAGTTTTTGAGTACTTCCGTGAACAGCCAGGGCGCAGCGTCCTTCAGAGACCTGTCTCTCGAGACTAGCAAGGACTGTTAATTAACAGCCTGATTACAGATTTGATAATCAGATTGTATGTATAATTTACGTTAATATATTTCTCAACTGTATTATTTGTCGGATATAACCTCAAAAATTCGCAGTGTAGCTTTCAGCCTTATTTTTAGAAAGCGTTATTTGAAATGTGGCTTCCGATTTTATAATTCTCTGGGATGAATCCTTCAGGTATTGAACAGGCTAACCTAACCTCGTGAAAACTTCCTGTGCTTTAACGCAAATAGATGTAGTGTAATGTGTCGCGTTATTGGGAGTTTGCCCGGGGCCGTCCCTTTGCTTTATGAAACAACAATCTAACCAAATCTTTAATTAAATATTGGCGCGCATATTTTGAAACAAAAGATAAAAGTATTCTCATTGTTCTCAGAGGCCCTTGGCGACTGTCATATTAACTTCAGTTTTAATTTGAAATTCGCCCTGCACAAGGTTATTTTCGTGGTCAGTCTTTTTTTTTATTCGGCGGTAAGCTTTGATAAAAATAGGTTATCAGATATGTGCAGAACCCTTTGTTTTCAGATTTTACGACTAACTCCACAACAGCTTTTGCGATACAGAAAAAAATATACATATATTTAAATGCTTTAACATTTCGGACTAAATGAAGTTAGTGTTTTGCTTTTTATTCGCTTTGAATTCATATTTTTAAAAATAAACAACCTATGAATCTATTTCCACAAATAGAGTAATAAGCACAAATATATATATTATTTTCTCTTCTCATATACCTTATGATTATTAATGGATTTAATGTTATTTAATGACGCTTTTTCAATTGTCAATTTTGTATTATGTGGAACGAAAATGGAGATGCTTATGAGTAAATATTGTGTATGGATTTAGAAGGAGGCGACAAATGAATGTTTTAAGATACCGTTCTATTCTAGATATTGGCTGGAGATACCGATGAAGTTAGCCTCTAACCCCGTTTATTTTTACTTAGCAGCTGATGAAAACTGTATGATCGTTAAGATGAACTTTGCGGAAC